GGGATACATTTTTAAGGTCATGAGACCGGTTTGGTCGTACAACATAAACTTAACTTATATGGATTGAACAAGGCTTGGTTCGGTTAATAAAGTCGTTTTAGTCACGAATATATGTGAAAATTCTAACCGAACTAAAACTAAAATGAATCCAAAAATATTTCGGTCAGAGGTTAGTTACAGTTTTCTTAGAACCGAACCCGAAAAACAAAATTCGAAGTGTGCACCCCTAAACATGTTACTTGCATTTGTATTTTTTAGTATTTTTCTTAATATTATCTTCCTCATAGTTTTGTATCTTTTGATTATGATTACATACTTTACTTATCACCCAATAACTAACTAACCATATTTATTCAATTTATCAAAATTAACACATATGAAAAACTTTTTTTTAATTGACAACATTTAGAATATGACCACACACACACAATATGACCACACACCATATGAATTGAATTTCTTGTTTTTGTTTTTGTCTTTTTATATACAAAAAAAAAAAAACAACTGGCTATTTAGGAACACGTGTTAATATAAAGGTTGAAAATTTTGATTTTTTTTTTACCGATAAAATATCGGATAACTTTAATATGAACAACATAATCAAAAAATTTTAGAATATGACCACACAAAATCATGAGCCTCTAGGTGCAGAATTTGACTTTTTAATGTGTATATTTTTTTTTCAGTTTCAGTCCAATTTTTTTTTGCTTGTTGTCCTTCGTTTTTAGTGCCGACTTTGGAGAAGATAGCAGGAAATAATGAAAATCTTCCACAAATTTCGACCAAGCACAAGGATTCCAAGAAAAGAACCCTATAAATTTGAATTATGGGTTTGAAACACATAATTATAATCGCAAAGGGAAAAAAGAGAGATTCAGTTCTATTTTTCTCTTTTAAAATTGGTTCAATTTGAATAATTACGATTTACGGGGTTAACCTTAAAAAAAAATCGGAAACTTTTTTTGTTGGAACATACTATTTTTTCTTTTCAACCGGTCATTACCATTCTAACATAGCAAAAATGGACCACATTAGCTGGATATAATTAAAATTTTAATAAAATTTTTGCTAAACAAAACAAAAGTAACAAAAATCAATTGTTCCCTATCATTTAATTTTGGATTTAGATTTGTAAGATCTTTATGGGAACAAAGATCAATAAGAATGTGACAAAAAAAAAAAAAATCAATGAGGGTATTGGCTTCAAATTTTATATTTCTCGTATCTACCGTCAATTAGGTAGAAAATAACTAGCTAGAGCCAAAAAAGAATTTAATTCGGGGAAAATATATTATGAATTTTATAAGATGTACAAATATATGTTCCCCAAAATGTATGTTTAACCTTTTCTAATAGATATTACAACCTTTTCTAATAGATATTAAGTGTTTGTAATTCTTATAAAATAACTTATGATCAAATGTGTATTATATCGAAGAGGAAAACGGAGAAATCGACAAGATGATAAGATCGAAACCCGATTAAACAAAGTAAAAACCTTCCGGTCAAGCCAAAAGACCGTAACCGAACATAGTCGGAGTTAGATCCGAACAAGCCGGAAAAACCAACCCGATTTTGAACGGGAACACCTACATATAATACCAACCAAAACAAAGAAAAGAAATATATACACATCAGTCCGGCGCTATGGCTAAGGAAGCCCACAACGCCGGCCGGAAGAGCCAGATCCGATCAAGAAAACTTGTTCGAAGAGTTTTCTAGAGAGAAAATAGAGAAAATGGTTTATAATTATGCATCATTTTAAGTTATCTTTGTGGTAGATTTTACAAGATGAAAAGTTGTGCTAAATTTTACAAGAATTTTAGAATAAGTGGTACATTGAACAATTTTCTCAATTGTGTTTATAATTATGCGTCATTTGTAGTAGATTTTACAAGAATTTTACAATTGAAAAGTTGTGCTAATTTTTACAAGAATTTTAGATTACGTGGTACATTGAACAATTTTCTCAATTTTCGAGTAATCATAATGAATTCAAGAAGATGTGAAAAAGAAAATCTTTCCTAAATGATTTAAGAAAGTGTTACCTTATAAAGTAACGAGAAACACGATGTTCTTGGGATCATTAGACAGCTTGTTCAAGATATCGATTGTTTCACGGCTTGGTGTTGTCCTAATGGACCCTGGCTGCACCATTGTGCCATCATAATCCAAGAGAATGGCTCGGTTCTTGGTCCTCTTATAAGCCGAGACAATGTGCTCAATGGAAAGCTTTTTAAAACTCGGATCAAGCGCCACAACTCCAAAACCTATTCCCCAACACCTCTTCCTTGCATGGTCTTTACAAGCCCTTTCAAGATCCAATACGCAACATCGTGTGTGCTCACATATTTGTGATGCTTCTCGCGGCGCATTTGCTTCTCTGCTTCTGATAGTATCACATTGCTTCAGTCACTGCATCAATGTTCCATGGATTCACTCTAATGGCGCCGCTGAAAGAAGGAGAACATCCGATAAACTCAGAAACAACGAGCATACCCTTCTTTGCAGCAGAAGGATCCAAGCCTATAGTTTTGTTGAGTTCTGGATTGCCTTGCCTGCAGATAATGTACTCATAAGGTATAAGATTCATACCATCTCTTACTGCTGTAACAAGACAAGGCTCTGCAATCACATAGTAAGCGATCCGCTCGAAGAACTGAAGCGATTTATCGATAAGAACCACAGGTTGGTAACCAGGCCTTCCAAACATTTCGTTGATCCTTTTAACCGTTGCTTCGGTTTCACACTGAACCTCATGAACATCTTTCCCACGGCCTCTTGCAGGGTTAGCTATCTGGACAAGCACAACTCGACCTCTCTTCTCGGGATGTTGAGTGAGAAGTTGTTCCATTGCCAAAAGAGTGAGACTAATTCCTTTGAAGATGTCCATATCATCGACACCGAGAAGAACCTTTTGATCCAAGAACTGATCTCTTAGCTCAGCAACTTTGGTCTGAGTCTCTGGGAGGTTTAAAATTGACTGAAGCTGACTGGTATGAATCCCAACAGGAAGAATCTTGATACTAACCGTTCGACCGTAGTATTCAAGCCCTATGGTTCCTCTTTTTGACTGATAAGACAAACCAAGTATCCTACTACAGCAAGAAAGCAAATATCTTGCATAGATGTTGCTTACAGAATCCATGATAGTATTTGGTGAATAGCTCAGGTGGGATATACGCAGGAACACATTTGAAATTCTCAAGTAATTTTTGAGAAACATCGTCTTGTTCGGTACATCGATTTGTTTTTTTAAGTCAAACAATGTAGACAACTTCCATGTCTTCTCTCATACCATCTTTAAGCTGTAAGAGAAGTGAGTCATTGTCCCAACTAAAATTCAATTTACCGGTCGAGCTTCTATGTGATTTAATAGGAAGTTGGTTTCCAACAATGATGATACGATCTTGTGGGACTGAAGCAGGAGCATCAGAACAAACACTGTTGCTGTTGTTATCATCATCAAGCTTAGTTAGATAAGACACCAGTTACAGTTGCTACTCTTGGAAATCTCTTCTTTTTCTCGTGAAAACGAATGGAAGTTACCAGAAGCAAGACCTTGATACCATTTTTTCTTGAAGTTCCTAAAGCACATGATTGAGTCTCTGCAACATAAAACAACACAATGCAATGTCTCTGCAACACAAAGAACACATCAAATATCAAATCTTTTGTATCATTAACTCATCTAATTAACACAAAACCAAATCTTTAATCTCAAAGATCATTAATCTGAAATTAGAACAAATTTCACAAAACCTCAAACAGGTTATATGCACAAATTAACAGGAACAAAGCCAAGAAAGAAAAATCAAAATGCATAAATTTTAATTACAACTAAACAGAAAATTTAACAGAGCTTACACTCATATG